CTTAATCGCTTAAATGTCCACCACATGTTCGAGTTTCAGATGGTATGTCGTATGAGCCCCTTTCAAGGGTTTCTGAACCAGATTTGAAGATAACCCGGCTTCGTATAGCTTCATTTTTGTGAATGCATATGGCTTATGACTTACTTTGATTTGATTACATGTTAGATAGTTGAAGTCATTGAAATATAAGTGAATGTTAGTTTAACTAGAATTCTAATTTCTATCTAACTGTATGAACACCAAATTTACTTATAGACTAATAATTTTGTCTTTTGTGTACTCTATTTAGTATTTTGCAAATGAAAGGAGATTTAAAATAGGTAGCCACTAGCCAGTATGTTATCTTCTCCAATTACCAAAATTTTTGAACAGTAAAATATTGAGGTTGATTTCTTAACAAGTAATGATTAACAATAGATTTTTCAACTACATCTTTACTGTTTAAATGCTTGCAAATGATCCGATTAAGATCTAGATACAGATCAACGAGCTTAAATATGCTCTGGGACCACTTTCAGGCCATANGCCACTAGCCAGTATGTTATCTTCTCCGATTACCAAAATTTTTGAACCGTAAAATATTGAGGTTGATTTCTTAACAAGTAATGATTAACACTAGATTTTTCAACTACATCTTTACTGTTTAAATGCTTGCAAATGATCCGATTAAGATCTACATACAGATCAACGAGCTTAAATATGCTCTGGGACCACTTTCAGGCCATAAGTTGTAGTATTGCAGTCACGCGTGCTTGAAGAGATATTTAAATGCTCGAAACTAGAATACGTAAAGTGAACGAAGATGTTGGAGGATATTTTGAGAGAGGAACTGCTGATAAACTTCAACAAATTCACTGGGTAAGAGAATTAATATCTTTTATTTTGATTGCAGAAAGATACTTCCATGACTTGTGCACCAAATTCGGCTTAATGCCTTTTTGAGCCGAACTAAGTAACACAATGGTCTCATTTCAGATGTATGCATATCAATTTCATCCACCAAATA